TTATTATTTTTCCATTTAGTTATTTTTTTAATTTCTTTTTTATTGAATGTATTTCCGCAGACCTAACACTCCAGCATAGTAGGTGGCGGTAATGCACCTTAAACTCTGCAACAAACAGAAGAAGAAAAAGCGAGCGCTTCCTGTCAGCAGAGCTGCAGACTGACAGACCAGCGCAGATCGGAGCTCTTCAGTCCGTGTGAACTCAGAGATGTCGGAGTCCCCGGACGCCCGCAGCCTGCTCTCTGCCTCCTCCCAGCTCAACCTGATGGAGGTGGACACGGTGAGAGACTCTGCTCCTCCTTCTTCTCACGTGTGCGGAGCTGAGGGAGGGAGGTGGTCGCTGTGCTGCTGCTGAGATGGGATCTGCCCACACTGTGTGCTTATTGCGGGAGCTGCTCGTGTTGTTACAATGATATTTGGGTTATTTACATGTGAGCAGGTAACACAGCGACTCCTCGGTGTGACGATGAGTTTGTCTTTAATGCATCATATCGTGGATCGAAAGAGGACCCCGTCCCAACACTGTCACGTGAGGGAGTGTTTACATGCAGCGTTATTTATTTAAATGGCAGATGTTCTCTCCCAGTGTCAGTTACTTACTACTGCGAGTGTTTCCTCCTCCGTGACTCTTTCTCACAATCTTTGAATGTAGAGTCACGGTGTCATGGTGCAATTCTTAGTCTGTGATGCGTTCAGGCTCCATCAGTTCCTACTCCTTTAGCAAAAAGCTGGAAACGCATCCAGTTGGTCTTGGTTAGTCGGACATGTGGTGACATGGTTCGTCAACAATGTGATTTAAAAGAAAGTGGACAGGACAGCATTTCCCTTAAGCCTCTGTGCTCCACAGTCCACCACTGCGGCTACTTGTGTCACCTGATCAGACCTAGGGCCTGTACTACGAAGCTGTTTTAATCAAGGTAACTTCCGGTTAACTCTGGCTTTTCAGGGTCACCATGGTAACTTTATGCTGATCTCTAACCTGCTCAAAGTTCAGAGGATCAGCTTAAATCCTGACAATTGACCATTTCTAAAACCAGAAGTAAATTCAACACACTCAGGAAATGTTTCCTTTATCTGGCTTCACTGGCACCTGCTCCATTGGATCACAAGCAAATAGTATGCTTTTATACACATTGATCAAATCTCATAATCTGCTCCAGAGGAGGATCTGGTCCTGCATAAGGTGAGTAGCATAAGTTACAATGGCAATGTCAAGCGAAGCAGTCTTGAATTAAACCTGAAGTTACCTCGCTGATCGCAGATCCTAACCACAGAGTTTGGTGACATCAGCGGTGTTGAAACTGGATGACAGTGAAATGAGACATTCTCCTGTCTCATAAAAACAGAAACAATGGTGTGAATGGTTGTTCATGTCTCAGCGCTCTATTTCTAATGATCTCTGCTTTTGCTCTAATGCACGTGTCCAAATCCACTTTTGTCAGTTTAATAGTTGACAAAAAAGGTGGCTGCACCAGGTGCATGGTTCAGAAGGTACTTAGTCTCTTAATTAATGATGGGTATGTTTGGGTCATCTGTGTGTAACGAGCAGTGTCTGTCTGTCGTGCACCCACCTATGTAGGTGCATATCTTTCTTGAGCCTTAAATTAAGAGTGAAATCCTGCACCACTGACTTCAGACCATGTTTTTGTTGAACAGTCTCTTTCCAATGCCTCAGATAGCAATGAACCAACAATATGCCTGATCACACCTCATTTTAAGACCGACATACGTGGGTGCGCAGATGGACACAAGTCCATTTTCTATTCAAACAATGTGGCAGCAGGATGGGAAAATGATGACTGTTGGTCTGAAACTAGCAAAGACAGTTGTGCTGCACCTTGTGTTGGCTATAAGATGTACCCCACCTAGTGTTATATCTAATGGATGGAAGGATGCTTGTTCCTACAACAAAACAGAAGAAGTGCTGAGCTGCTGTAGTGCTTTTCTTTCCTCTGATAAGTTCAGCCACTGTGTGATCTGTGTGAATAAAAGCCTGCGATGACAAAGCAACTTTTGGCGGCTGAGGATGTAGAGCAGGTCTGTAGTTCAATCCCCGGCTCCTCTGGTCTGCATGCCCAAGTGCCCTGAACCCTGAATTGTCCTGATGGCTGTTCTGCAGTGTGTGAATGATGTATGCATGAGTGTTTGTGAATGAGTGAATGTGACTTATAATGTGTACCATATTGAGTGGTTGATAAGATATTGCAGGCCATTTACCATTCTATTTGTATTTCATGTATAAGATTCATTCATGTGTTATGTTGTTATAGATAGTTGTTGGTTAATGCTAGTTGATATCTTATTGCTGTGAAGTTCTCCTAGTATCTTCTCAGTTAACACATTCAGGTGTATGAGATGGTAGAAATGGTAATTCTTTAAAATCGAATTGCACAGAGAAGATACTGACACTTTTTATTTCAAGTCTCATAAATATACATACATTATATATAAGTATGTCGTTAACTTACCCGTAAACAGCCTCAATACTAAAGTAGACCAACCTGAAAGCAGTTATACTAAGGCCGAAGCCCCGAAGGCAACTCATTGTCATAGGCAGACCATCATCACTGGATGGATTAATATGTGTGTGTTTGTATGGTTGGGGGGGGCACACAATGTTATACTGGTGCCTCACAGCAAGACGGTTCCTGGTTCAACTCTTGGTTTGGTCGGGGCCTTTCTGTGTGGGCTTTGCATGTTCTCTTCCTTTCTAGTCTAAAGACGAGGTTATTGGAGACTCCCTAAATTGTTTGTATTCCACCTCTTGCCCAATGTCACCTGGGATTGACTCCAACCCTCCCTGCAACCTCAAAGAATAAATGGTATAGATAATGTATGGATGGATGCTTCACAGTCTATATGCACAAAACATGGTTTGAAGTAGTTTTCCTTTTGGTCCAGCAGAGGGGGCTCTTAAATTCCATACCAGCTTTACCTGTAGCTGACTGCATTCATTGACGTTCATTCATAATTTAGTATTTTCAAATGAGACAGCTCTCGTATATTTTAACTTCCCAAAATAGATCACAAGATATGATGACTGTAGCACTAGAAGCTAAGTCACTGATCGTCTTTATATAGTCACTGACCATCTCTATATACAGTCATTGATTGTCGCTGATCATCTTTATATATAGTCCAAATAATTTTGGATTGAAGAATAGTACCCGAATCATTGTTGACTTTTCAGACCAGGTGTTAATGTTTGTCTCAGGTGATCAGATCACATAGGTACGGAAGCCCTAAAGGGTCATACATACATACATTTTATTCCACCTGTTTTCCCGTGATAACGAGATAATCCTTCCGTTTTCCCATGATAACGAGATAATTTTCCTCCGTTTTCTCGTGATAACGGAGGAAAATTATCTCGTTATCACGGGAAAACGATCTTTGTTATATCGAGATAACGAGATAATAAAAAAATCGATGGCCGTTCTCGGCTTCCGTAGTCTTCTCAGATGACGCACACTAATGTGTAAATTATCTATAGCAAGGCATAAAGCTATTTCAGCCTGTGTCAGGCCTTGATTGAAGAGATATCTGATGCGCTGATCGGTATTCTCCTGCTCCTCTGACATTGCTACACTAAATGATGTTTCCTGCAATGATTTAATACGTTTTGTTTTCTCGAGATCTCGAATTAATTATCTCGTTATCACGGGAAAACGGAGGAAAATTATCTCGTTATCACAGGAAAACGGGTGGAATAAAATGTATGTATGTATGTATGACCCTTTAGGGCTTCCGTACATAGGACTCCTTGGAGACACTTCCTAATCTTAGGAGTTTATGTTCTGTCCTCTTGTGATTGGACCACTCGAGACAGAAAACCATACCAGGTGCTGAACAGAGAGTTTCCTGTGTCCCTGAAAATATTCTCCTGGGAAGAAGGGAGAAGATTATGACAAGAGTTTTGATAAATAACCAGAAAGGTGCAACCAACATGTGCAAAACTTTTCCCTGTTTAACAGGTATGTTTTTTAATTGCTTTTGCATCAGTAATACAAATTTCACCAAAACAATTTCACCAAAGAATCTTAACCTCAGAGCTTCACATGTTTGAAAAACCAGTGGTTTGTAGTAAGTCATTGTTTGTCTTGAGTCAATGTTGACTGGGTCATCACTTCAGGAGCATGTGCATAGTGGTGAGCTGGTGTTAGAACACATATGCTGTCATCAGGACAGACAAAGGAACATCAAATACAACAGAGTAACAAATACAGCTTTCTAACATCTGTTTTCATTTTATTTCTGTTCTCAGATCGATGATAAGGAGTTTGACATTCCCCAAGTGGACACACCTCCCACACTGGAGAGCATCCTTAATGAGGTCAAGTACATGTGATTGTACTGCATCACACAATAGAATAACTACACTGTAGTAACAAAGTCAAATTAATCAGTTTTAAGCAGCTGATTCACTTGTTTTCTACAGTCTAAACTGTCCACACAGAATATGTTTTTGTTCCACATTCTGTTGATTGCCTTTGTGCCTTTTCAGGTAGTGAAATTCAATTCAATTCAATTTTAATTTTCTTTATATCGCACCAAATCATTATATACATTATCTCAAGGCACTTTACTTCATAATAAGGTTGAAACCTTAAAAATTGCAGAGAAACCGAAAAAGTTCCCACGATGAGCAGCACATTGGTGACTGTGAGGAGAAAAAACTCATTCATTAACTGGAAGAAAACTCTAGCATTAGTCTGCCTCGAGCAGTTTGGATGAGTGTAGAAAAATAGGGAAGATAAGAAAGGTGGGAGGCAAAGAGGGGAGAGAAGAGGGACAGTGGGGGAGAGAGAGGAGAAAGACCAACGGAGAGAAATGGGAAATGTATGTGAGAGAGGAGGGGAATGATATGTAGGAGTCAATCTGTCGACCTGCTGCTCAGAGCATGTATGCCAATGTAGTGTGTACTGAGGGTCTAAAAATGAAGTTAACCGATGCTGTTGTCTGCAATGCCATTAAGTGGAACTGTGGAAGTCAAGACAAGAAAATGGCCAAGTCCTATGTTTTTACAGTTACATTTAAGCGTCAACCCACAATGATGCCACTCACTGGTTTGTGAGCTTCTGTTTTGAAGCCTCAGTTTGGCATTTTGTGCAGCGCTTTCTTATTTATTGAAACCATATTTGGAGGAAGAGGGGGGTGGAGCCTAATTCAGAACTTGACGACATTACATGCCCACCTGCCGACAGTAGCCATTGGGCGATGCTGGCTGTCGATCACACTGTATCCACGCCCTAATGCATACCTTGCTTTATGGTCTGTTTGATTGAGAACCTGTGAAAAATGCTCACTGATGTTATAAATCTAGTGAGAAGTAGACTCATTTTCTCATAGACTTCTACAGAAACAACCAGGGGAGTCGCCCTCTGCTGTTCATTTTAGAGAATGCATGTTTCAGGCACGTCTGTGTTGGCTTTACTCTCTACACCGTCCATTCTTATCGATGTTATGTTCAAATAGTATCACACAGTGAGAGGATATCCCACAACTCTTGTCAGGTAACTTAATCAACCCTCACGTCACTTTAGAGCCGACCTATTCAATAAACTGACATTACCCTTGTAACTGAGGTGTGTGTGTTTGTCGTCCTGTGTGTCTGCAGCTGGACGATGAGGAGGAGCCTTTTGTGTTGGAGGACACATGCACGCTGAGCACAGACAACATGGATGCTCATTCCTGTGACACATCCTCTCTGGCCAGTTCTGACAGTGGAGACCCTGCACATCTCAAACGGCATGGACACACACACACACACACACACACACACACACACACAAACTTAAACATGACTGAATACTCAACTACTAATACTACTATCCTCTGCCACATTTCTCTTTGCTTGGTACTGCATGTATCCCAATGGCACAAGCACACTTACTTAGGGATGTGTATGGTGTATCTCATTATCTCATTGTCTTGTACAAGGTAATAAAATATCTTCTTTCTGTGTTTGTGTGTGTGTGTCTGTCTGTCTGTCTGTCTTTGTGTACATGTGTGAAGAAAAAAGAGGATGGTGGATCTAAACACGACAGTTCATGGGTCTGTTCTTCGACACAGCCTGCTGAAGGGCATCTCGGCACAAATCGTCTCAGCTGCTGTGAGAATAACACACACACACACACACACACACACACACTTACCTATCTCTTTTTATTAAGGGAGTTATCAGCTAGTCTGTCTGTGTTCCTTTTTCTCGTTCCAATGCTGATTTCATTGAGTGCAAATATTTGTTGTTACAGAAGTTTTCACTTCAGGACTGGCTTCAGAATTGGGCCTTTGTTTCCGTCGTCTAATTTTTTTATTGCTGTATTTAAACAACATAACATGTGTATCTTTTATGCAGGACAAAGTGGATGCTGGACTGCCAACTGCAATAGTGAGTATCAGTTTATTTGGCTTTAAATCAACTGAACAAGGATACAGAATGTGATATTATTAGGAATTATTATTAAAGGAATTTGATAATGTCATAATGTCACTCTTTCTATGACCTTTAATGACCATGTACACCTTATGCATGCTCCATAAGAGACATGAATATCTCTTCGGATGGCTGTAACCATCTATGGGACTGTTTTGATGTTTCTGAGATACAGAAGGCAAAGTGTAAGGTGTGAGTCAAAGGTGACACAGTGTTTACACACATCTTTGTTGAAATAGCAAGAAAGAGAATATGAGAGCAGACACATGATAGGATTGTTTATAAAAATGCAGCCCAATATTATGGGAATATTACCAATTAAAAACATCAATTACACAACTGGTGTTATCTAGTATTTATTATACGAAGTACACCCACATGTGTGTCTGTGTCGGTCTATGTTTGTAGTGTTGGATTGTGTGAGTACAAGTGGAGGCGGAAAGTTTGATATTGTCTTATTTATTGAATATTGTATTATTGTGTATTTGATTGTTTTCAGACAGTGGCGGGTGTGATCGCTGTGGGGACGTCTCATGGTCTGGCCCTGGTTTTTGGTGAGTCTACTCAACTCTCCTACATGCACACAGTGCACAACAGAGCAGCCTGAGCTCAAGTGTAGTGATATAGTCGTGTACCCTGCATCATAGCCTGACATGCACCTCATCACTAACCCTAAATTGCCCCGTCCCAACTTTTTTTGAAATGTGTTGCAGGCCTGAATGGCAGGAATGGATGTATATTTACGGATAAAATGAAGTTGAGCAGACAAAACATAAAATATATTATGTTCATACTGTCTGCAATGAAATACATGTCAAATTAATTTAGAAATCACTGCTCTCTTTTTTTTTTTTTATTTTCCGTGCTACCAACGTTTTCTGAGTTGGGGTTGTGCGAGTTGATGAGATTATTGGAGTTAAGTGATCAAGGTTGATCTGAGAGAAGCTGTTTAAATGGACAACAGGATTCTCAGCTGCTTCTGAGATTTTTGTAATATTTACAATGTTATCATTAAATCAATGCATAAAGTCATTGCTGTTAAAGAGTTGGTGGAATACTGGGTTCAATGAGGTGTGACTCTCTGTCAGCCTGGCTACAGTGGTGAAAAGAAGCCTAGAGTTGTAAATACTACTCCATTAATGTGGAGTAGTAAACAGCTCTGGCATTGTGTCCAGAAACAATGGACTCAAATTATGGTCAAAAAGAATCTGAGCTTGTAAGGTGATGATCACAAATACAAGTTAGAAGCTTTTTAAAAAATCTTAATCAACCTGTAAACTGAACACAGAAACGTTTGCTTATAAAACTCAACACTCAAACTTCCCACACTTTGCATAAGAGCCTGAAGTTCAAATACCTTAAGATTATCTATTATTTTGCGCAACTTCATCGAATATGATGAAGCCCTCCTGGGTGACAGAGCAGCCCGTGCTGTCGTCTATCTTCAGAATATGCTCTAGCTTTCCTTCAGTGGAACATCTGCCCTCTGATAGGATGGTTAAACTTTGTGTTGTGATTGGATTGGCACTGTCAAATCAGTTGTAAAACCAGGTAAAAAAGCCATTTTCAGATATGACTTCTGGAGAATGTCCTGAGAATTGGGTCTGGACTTTCTCAAGAGGTTTCCTTCAACACATGAACAAGGCAGCAGGAGATTCTCCCTCAGATGTTTCTTTAATTTTTGTGTCTTTCGGGTGTTAATAATGTCACTCCCACTCGCTCATGGTGAATCCTGCAGAGCATTTCCTGCGCTGTGCTCAGAATAGCTCCTCTGGATTTGTGGCTGACCTTTAATAGGGGACTGGCCGGAGAACATCTGCAGAAAGTCAGGAGGCTCTCACTTGGACATTTGCATTCAGATAATGTTCGGAGTATCTCTGGAGTTGAGTGCATGTCCGAAAGCATCTTAAGAAACTCTGATATCATTTGGTCACAAATTTTATTCACACCGCCTCACTTACAAACTGTTTGAATTTGTAAACTGTTCATAAATAATTCCAATCTCATCGACTTGAACCCATAAGGAACAGCCCCATCAACTAGACCTGTGTGTATTAGTAGGTGTTATCAGCCAAATTAAATCTCAAATTCACATACAGGTGAATTGTATCTAAAATGGCCGATGCCAAAGAGAACAGGATATAAAACTGTGTTGTATTCTACGTAAAGGTGTCAGCTTTTCAAAATCACACCTCTAATGACTAGGATTTAGTGTACACTCATATCCAGTATTTTGATTAATAAACACCACAGTTGATTGAGGTTCTTGGAATATTTTATTAAACTCACTTTTGGTTCACACTATAGTTTACATATTAACAGTTGGATCTTTGATTAACTTAGTACATGCCAGTATCACTGATATCCACCCTCAAGACTGCTTCACCTGAGTCAGACATGGAGGCACTGACAATAACATAATCGCCCTCATAGGAAATGCAGGAGCCATCAGCTTTTGCTCTTACAAAGTTGTTTTCACCTCCATTATACATAATATCGTACAGATTGTAGTCGCAGTCATTTCCTCTTTCAAAGATGCCCACAGCAAACCAGTTGGAGTAGAGGTTCCGGTCATAGGGCACAGAGTACATGACAGCCATAATGTGGCTGTAGTCGTTCAGATCGGCGTTGAAAAGGTCGTAGGTGAAGACACCGATGGCTCCAGTCGCACAGCCGGTGGTCTTGTTGAACAGTGCGCCAGCAGCGGAGCAGGGACCCACCATGGGTGGCAGAGGGACCTCACATTCGCCGCTCTCAGTGAACACCCTGAACACAGAAACACAACGGGTCAGACAGGTCCGACGTGATCTTTGTATCAAGTCAAACCAACCATCAGTTTTATATTAAGGAAAGACTGTGAGTTCCCCCACAAGCAGTCAAAATGATTGCATAATGTCACATGCCAATTAAAATATACTGCATGGCCAATAGTATGTGGACAGTTGAACATGTTGTGATAACATGTGATTCCATTTGGTTACAAGAGCCTTAGTGAAGCCAGTCAGTGGTTTTCCAGTGCAGAGGTGCAGGATGTGGTGGTACAGTCCAAAGACGTTCTAGACCAAACTGGGAAACTAATTTCTCTGTGGACCAAATCCAAACTGCTTATGGTAGCTTACGATAAGAATGTATTTAGATACAAAGAACAAGGAAGTGAATTATGTTCCTCACCACGATTCAAAGAATGGACCTACTTGTATTCGGAAGAATAGTTCCTGTAATGGCACTTTAACTGGTATGTGGATATACAAACACACTTTAACAACAGTCACAGGGTGTCCCAACATGATGCAGTTTGAACAAGCAGGTAAACAAGCAAAACCAAAAAAATCATAGCTTAACTTTTTTTGGGCATCATGTAATTGTGGCTGCTCACTGAATAAAAATCCAGATGAAAGAAGTTTGGGGATGCTTCTCACCAAATGATGCACGTCAGAAAATGAGCAACACATCACCTTGGGTTGGCCAGAGTGTAGCAGCCAGAGTTGTTGTTAATCTCCACGGAGCAGTGACGATGAGGCATCGTGATGAGGTGTGAAGTGGTGGCAGGGGAAGAGTCACGCTTAGAGACAAGACACAATTATTTCAATTATTTGCTGATTGATTCATGTCATAGTTTTTCAGTAGGCTGACTAATGGCTTTGGATATAAAATGTTAGGATTAAAGGGCAAACACAAAGATGCAAGTTACAGTGTGTTTATATAGTGAAAATAAGGAGCCTCTCTAAACTACTAGTCGTGTAGTTCTGTCTGAAGATTCTCAGTCATCAAGGTCGGGGTCTGGAGTTAGTACAAAGATGTACTTGGGCATTTCAAATAGAGAGCTAAGGAAGTCATATCATATAAATACTTTGAATGAAGGATATGATCAAAATGGAACCCATGTCATAGAGCTTGAGTCACCTTCATGTAGTGCTGAAGGAGCCTGGAGTCATATACCCTCGGGAGCTCAGCCAAGTGTGAAGGTGACAATGAAGGAAGTGATAGCAACAGACCTGAGCCAATGTTTCCATGAACCTTTAGTAGTGTCAGGACACAAATCTGCATATTCTCACCAGGATTATTTCTGATCTTAACATCATTTGAGTGTGAAATATAATTAGACAGGAGGCCAGCTACAAACTTTGCATAACTGGGTGAATGAAGTAACAGTTTCTTTATACAAGCCTTCAAAGTGGATCAAATGAATCACTGTGTTATAACTGACTAGCTTTTTTTCTGTCATGTGATCTACTGCTGCAAAGTAAAAAGAATCTAGACAAACCCAACTTTGCAGAAGCTGCTGTGCTTCATCACTGTTGCTATACTAGTCTTATCAATATCCACGACTGACTGTCACTGATCGCATCTGAAGCCAGGTGATAATTTTATGGATGGCTCAACAAAGGATGGATGGATGTATTCACAAGTTGCTAACTTTACTGTGCTTATTTGGCATATTCTTTGTATTTGTTAATCATTTGTGCTTCTTGATTTGTAGAATTATTGATATTTTAATAGCTTCTTGTTATTCTTTGGTTGTGTTGTATCACCTCTACTACCTCTATTTTTATCATTATATTAAAGTATAATAAAAGAGGAGCTACATGCAGTATGTGACTGTTCAATTCAGTGGATGTGACAAAAACCAGATGAACAATGTACAGATTTAAAATGGAGTTGACAAAAAGTGACTAAAACACTGGATGAAAAAGAAATATAAAAACAGATGACAAAACTACCTGTAGAATAATGATAAATAAATGAATACAAATAGTAATGTAAACTAAACTTGCAACATCATTCCACAGTAGTACAGATGTCTATTGTCTAACCATCAAAAAGTGAATACACAAGAACCTACCTCTCTATGCTCTGCAGAAGCGGTGGTTTGAAATGATTGTTGTACCAGGTTTCAGGATGAAGTCATGGAAGTACATGGGCTGCTCCCACAGTAGCTTTTTATTGACCCAGCTAATCAGCACCTTTAGACACCAGTTGACTCCCTCCTTATCTTCTGTCTGGTATCAGCTTACCGCTCACCTGTGTTCCCGGACCTCGCCGACAACTTATCGCCAAGGCAGGGTTGGATTAGGCTGATTACATCAACCTAGGTTTTTGTTTGTTCGATCCTTTTATAGCGGGTATCCATTTGTGGGTATTTATTCAGGGTGGGATGTCAGCAGGGCAAGGACCTATTGCTCTGCCAGGGTAACACTACAAAAGTACATGAGGGGGAGATGTACACAAATCAGTTCACCATGAAATAAGATGATTGTTCTCCTGAATATTCTCAATATATATTCTTCAGTCCTGAGTCGCACGGTGAATCTGAGATGACACAAACTGTTCAGAAACTTTATTATCTACTGGACATTAGTGTTTAAATGCGCAAATGGTAACAGGTGCAAACATGGTAGAGGCAGTAGTATTTAGTGTTTTGCCTACGTTACTGGTTTCCACTATGGAGCTTTACGGAGAGCAGAGTGACCGCAAGCGCAAAGTGAAGTTTAATGTCATGGAATTGGAGGTGTTAGTGGAAGAGGCAAACAAACATGTTGAGCTACTGCGAAGAAATATTAATATAACTCAAAGAAACGTGAGAAGATGGTAGAACATAAGAAGAAGAACAAAAGAAAATTTAATTCATAATAAAACCTCAGCAGAAGAGTGTGAGTGAACATAAAATGCTTTTGTAGATTTATTGTAATTTCCAGGGGACATTTTTGAAATATGCAGAGAGCTGCTGGTCTCCACAGAGTCTAGGGCTCTAACTGTGATGTGGTTTGGCTGGGGCTGACCCATGTCTCTTTATATTGCTGACATGATGATGCCTGGGCAGGAAAAGGTATGAACATCCCTGTCATATGGCTCGCCTATGCTCATTTTGTTCATTTTGTTCATTTGGCTCTGAGATGTCTATGCTCATGTCCATTTTGTTTTGGCTGAGCTACTTTGGTGCATGCTTTGTTTTTTGAGTTGGATATTTTTCCTTCATTTGCTTCCAGTGTGTTGTGTCTTTGCTGATATGCTGTTTTGATTTCTTTTTTTCACTGTTAAACTATAGGACTTGGAAAAACCAAAGATTTTCTGTCTTTGTTTTTTTTTCCAATTCATTTTATAACCCATACATGTGTTTCCTGCTGCAGGGGATAAATGTCCTCTTTATCTCCCTGTCCAGATACCAACCAGGCCCTGCGACTCTGTCTGGGCACCAAGACAACTGGGGCAGAGTTTGGAGCTGTCTCCGCCCTCAGCATCAACCACGATTGCTCACGACTTCTCTGTGGGTTTGCCAAAGGACAGGTACAGTGTACAGTGTACTCAGGCACTACAATCACAGGCTTGTTGACTCTGTTGATTAGTTTAAAATGTTTAATAGGGTGGAGACAGGGCGCTGCTGACAGGGTTTCCACTAATGCTTTGAATACAGTGAGTTGTTCTGATTAGGGTGTGGTGCTCTGGTTGATGAGTTTGATTTCTGTGCATATTTCTGTATTTTGAAAGACATGATTTAACATACAAAACTAATTGTGTATTTACATACATAACATTAGGGTTTACATCTGAGCCTGTATGAGCTCACAACTCTTACGGGTATTATAGGTTTATTAAATGGGTGTTTTGCACAGTTTATTATTTTACCAAAGGAATCTCAATGGATCTGGACTGTACAATGACATATAAGGGCCGTGGTACGTAAAAAATATATGTTGGAGCCAGGGGGAATGGGAGTAATACAGTGAGAAAAACCCATCCATTTATGAGAAGAAAAGCAAAAAAAAGAGAAAGAAAGAAATTCTCTGAGATTAAAGTCCATATTTTTACGGAATAAAGTTATAATTTCATTTTAAAAAAAGGAAAAAAAGAAATAAGCAGTGAAGAGTAGTTTTCAGACATGGACAATATTTGCATAATTGGGTCCCGACTCTCTATCGAGTTTGCCATAATGCAGTCATAATAATAGTTGAGTAGTGTCAGATCTCGAGAGAGGGGGGTATGCCTAGATAAGTGAGTATACTTTTAATTTATGCCACCGATTAATTTAAAGCCACTCGTTCAGCAATTCATAAATGTTGCATGTTAAAACAGTGACATGTAAGATTACACTTCATATTTTGTTCATCTAAAAATGAGTCATTAGTATTTGCACATTGTCAGTTTTATTTGTGATGCAGATTTTGCATCAATCCTGGCCCACAGACTGCTACATGAATATTTCTTATCCCATAGTATATCCACACATGAAAATTATAGTCCAATGGCAAGTATAGTCTCTTTTGTTAACTGTCACTTGGAACAGCAGATTTGAAACAGACCGTGACTACAGAGTGTGCCACCATTGTAAAATTTACATTATTTGTCAAGGGGCAGTTTGCAAATATTAGTATATAAATAACTCCACTGCACGTTTTTAGTATAATTTACAAGGTTCTGCAATTAAACATTGATCGCAGTGGTTGACCTCTTTACTTTAAATTGTTATACTAGAGGGAGAACCTGTTACAATCAGCATCCTCCCTGACGAGGGTGATTAGTTTACATGGTGCAGAGCAGCACTTTCAGTTGACTAATCTTTGCCCCCATCCTGGCAAATAAACTACATTTATTACAAGTACTGGCATCACTGAAGGAGGCAGAGAAATGACTTAACATCGAGCAACTAAATATTGAACATATTGTGCTGCTTCAAATTCTGAGCTGTCTGTCTCTCTCTCTCTCTATATAACTAGATTACAATGTGGGATCTAGCCAATGGGAAACTTCTGAGAACTATCACCGATGCCCACCCTCCAGGGACAGCTATACTGCATGTGAAGGTACACACACACACACACACACACACACACACACACACACACACACACACACACACTGCATAGTCTTCAGGGGAGGATAGCTGTATGTGTCACACCCAGAATTTGCTCTTGGGGTTTCATGGTTTGGATATGATTTCAGTGCCTTGTTATTCTTTCCTTGTTTGTGTGTGTAGTTCACAGATGACCCAACTCTTGCAGTGTGCAATGACAGTGGAGGATCGGTGTTTGAGCTGGCCTTCAGGTAAGAGGTCCACCCTCCGTCTAGACTCTGATAAATGGTCTGACCATGTGGGAGCGAATACTGTTTTCTCAAAACAAACCTTGTAATATGACACTTCATTAAAAAAAACAATATACACACAAACATGTTATCCCAGACACAACAGAGTAATGATGATAAAAGACTCACTTTGTGTTAATAAAGTGTTTCGTTATTGTGAGGTAGGTTTTTAGTTCCTGGTAACGATATCTGTTCCTCCTTGTTTCCAGGAGAGTAATGGGGATGCGCACCTGTGACTCTCGATGTCTCTTCAGTGGTTCTAAAGGGGAGGTCTGCTGTATTGAACCTCTGCGTGCTCCTCCAGACTTCAGAGATCATCCCATCACACACTACTGTCTACTGGCCATGGCCTCTCTCACTAAAGTACACACAGACAGCTCTGTTCACACTTTGTCCTTTGCTTATCCATTTAACTTTGGGGTTGAAACTCTCCTGTGTTTCTTTCACCAGATTCTGGTCATTGGCCTGAAGCCTTCCCTGAAAGTCTGGATGACTTTTCCCTACAGCAAGGTCTGCATTTCTTTCTGCTCAACAGCTTGTTGTTGATAAGTGCAGGTTTGCACAGATCCCTTGAAACATTAACAGGATCAATTATGTTTTTAGTTAGTGTCAGTAACTGAATTCACATTAAGTAGTGTTGTATATTTAATGGTGGTTCTGTGTCTTACCCAAGGACATGCTTCAACATAAAGGCCTCACTGTGTGTGGCATGAGCCTGAACATGTCAATCATCATGTCAATCATCATGTCAATATGGACAAGATGCAGGGATAACAGTGGCCACTTGACATTCTCCGGGGGGACTGTATGTGAGAACACAGATGTCAGAGTGAGAGGCTCAGGACCTTTTCCGGAGTGTCTTCTGCCAGCCCCCTGATAAAAATTCAGGGTAATGTCTGGGTTAGCTCATGTGAAAACACAGCAGAAGATCTTTGGGAGGATTCATCACAAGCGAGTTGTCGTGTTGATGAAGTTTCCAAGACACTATGAAAAGAATACAAATGTGTCAAGATAAAGAAGTGTTGACATACACGATGAAGAGAGAGGACCCCCTCTCGATGTAAATATAAAGTATTTAAATATAAAGGGCCCACTCCAGGGTAAAGAAAACATTTGTACAATTTACATGAAACACACTGGTGATAACATCACTAGGATTATTTTATATTCAGTTTCTGCTAATAAAACCCTTTTCACCAAAGTCTTGCACACATTGGCCCTTTAATGCAACAACCACAACAACAAACATCCTGCTGCAGGCTTTATTTCATCAGATGTCCACCACATGAGAAAACATGTTGCTCAGCCCATTTTCAACAAACTGTTCCTTTTTAACTAAATGGTAGAATTAAGTGCCGAAGCGTCCTTGAGCAAGATACTGAACCCCTAACCTCCCCTGACGGCTGTGCTGGCAGTGTGTGAGTGATGTGTGATAGGAAGAGTGCTGCACATAGATGCACTGTATGAATGTGTGTTTGAATGGCACAACTGTACTGTAAAGCACTGAGTAGTCATCAAGACTAGAAAAGCTTTTTATGAATACAGACCATTTCAAATCCCTCGTCACAGTTCCAAAGTCCTCATATTTGTACTGCAGGCTCACTGTAATCCTATGTATTTCATTACTTTATTCCTACTTTGATCAGTCATAATGTCTGCTGAACAGTGCTCTTAACCAGCAGCACCGCATAGAAGCAATGTTTAAGCCAAAGCAAAAAAAACATTTGGAACATTAATTTAAAAGGTTAATGAAGAGTCACTGATGTGATGCATTCTTTCATCAGTCTGATCCGTCCAGCGTTCCTCAGCTGGCCTGGCAGTTTGTTCCCGTTCAGAAGACAGTCAACCCAATCCTGGCTTTTTGTAAAGGAGACACCGTCCACTTCCTGCTGGTATCTGCTCAAATCTTAACTTCAACTTAACTACAACTCCTTTTTAATTATTGTTTTGAATACTTTCTTCAGTTATCACAATTCATTTAGTGTCTGTATATCAATGTGCACTCACTGACCATGCTTTAGGTTTGATTTACAATCCTCAGACAGCCGGACATGTGGCTGCAGCGTCACTTGATTACTGTTTGACTTTCAGAATGAGATAACAGAATGTAGTCTGACCTGTTGGTTCCAGTAATGCTTCCAGCTTCTCACTCTGGAATATTATTTCATTTGTTGCGTTATTACACAGTTAATACATGAAATGTAACATAACTGCATGTTTTAAGAACCACAAAGATATGAAGACCAACAATATAAGACAGATAAAGAATGAAAGACACCCACTTGCTCTTAAAAGGAAGAAACATGCAGCAGAACAGTGAGGGTTGAAAGAAATGGAAGAAGGAGGAGAGGTGGGGGGTAGTTTTGTAATTAGCATTTAAGCACCACTAGTTGTTGCAATGAGCATAGTGGTACTTATATATATATATATATATATATATATATATATATATATGTAATAATGTTATTTATAACTAGAAGGATGCTCAAGGAGCACATACCTCCACCATGCCTGATTGACCACTTTATCATCATCTTGCATGTCATGTATTGAGGAAGTGGAAAAAAGTAGTTTTTCAGGAATCCTGCTGAGAGACAGACAATAGGCAATGAAAACATAACCTCCTGTGCAGAGGTAATAACTATATATATAGAATTTGAAAATGTCCCAAATGCTTGACTGTTTCCACATTATATCCTGAGAGAAAGATCAGCGTGGCACAACGGTTTATCATGTTTGAATGTTCTCCTCTGCACCACTGCTTGCTCAGGTTAAAAAGGAGGAGACGGGGACCATCCATGTCATCAAACAGAGACAACTCCACCTCAGCTGTGACATCATCAGCCTGAGTGTAAGTTCCTAACTGAAGACAGTGGGTCCCTTCCCAGTGCCCCCCCTTTAACTGTCCCACTATATATTCAGCAGGTGTTTGAGAGCTGCCTGGTGAACTTAGTCTGTTTTGGCTTCATGGTAGCTCTGCATCAACAGAAAATGTCTCTGCAATAAGATGAGTTAACAAGGGAAGCAACATGAACAGTTTTACATTAGGCATATACATTATGTCCAATATCTCCTTGAGTTTTCCTCCGTTTTCTTTGACACCAGCTTCTCCACCACAGGTGTGATCTAACTCCTGCATTGATCACAGCATTTCAGAATTAAGACAAACATGCATCTTAAATTGCTGGTTTCTCCTTTTCTCTGTGTCTCTGCAGTGGATCAACAGTCGCACACTGGTTCTGGTAGACAGCCATGAAAAGCTGCACGTTGTGGACAGACCCAGTCAGGAGGTTTTGGAGACTCTGGACTTGGAGCAGGTGCAACTGGTCTATAACAGCCGACATTTCAAATCGCTGGCCACTGGAGGGAATGTCTCCCAGGCTCTGGTGAGAGGGATTAGCTGATGGGGGACAGGATCAGAGGTCAAAGTTCACATTTCTTTGGCTCAGGAGCAGAGGTCAAGTTTAAGATTAATGCTCTTCATCAGTCTTTAATTTAACATGATAGGGATAATGGCTTGGATTTGAAAGGTAAGGGATGACAGCAGAGGAGGTTGTCTGTAACCCTTCAGGCTTACAGTTGGTCAGTCTAGTGTACACCCTTTTCAACCAAAAGTTCAGAGAACTATGACAGAACTATTTTACAACTGAAGAAGAGATGGAACAGATATCCTGTTGTTTTTGTTGTGAGATCCTGAGGTTTGGGTTAGATGTACTGGATGTATACATGGTTCCTGTAGAGGTGAAAAGGACATTGTAAACTAGTGTGGCAGCCACTACAGTCACTCACTTTGTTCTCTCGCCATGCTCCCTATCTCATCCACTCACTTGACCTGTTCTTCATCTCCTATTTGCTGGCTACCTGACTCGACCGTCAATTTCTCTCTGTCTCTGAACAGTTCACCTGTTCTTTTCCTCTTCCTGGTAAGTTTAACAGTTAACGTGTGTTTCAGGCTTTAGTTGGAGAGAAGGCCTGCTACCAGTCAGTCTCTAGCTACGCGGGACAGATCGTCTATTTGGGCACTAAGGTGATGTGTTTCATTATTGCACTTGTTGCCTGTGTGTGCACAACATCTTTGACCTTTACTGCACACCGATTAACATTAGTTGTTGTCGATCACTTTGAAAAGAAAGGGCTGACTAGTGTTGTAATGCAGTTAAAAATTAATCTTAACCACAGTGACTGGCTCTGATGTGTCTCTGCCGTCAGAGACGGATTTACTAGACTTGCTCAAACTGAGGAGGCATTCGATTTATCTCTCTGGAAGATGTCTCAAAGTGTTAGGCTTGGCTTTGTTTTGTTTTTTCTCATTCTTTAATGTGATATTGTGTTGTCTTGCAGTCCGCTCACATTATGACCCTACGAAACTGGAGAGAGGTATGTATATGACTAATGACTGATTATGGGAAAGCTTTGCAGTAATGGTTTATGGTTAAATGAGACTCTAATCTCACAGTATGAGAACATCTTTAGATTGCTGTAGGGCAACTAAACATTCACCAGGATGTGATGTAATGTACTGTTTTATATTTAGCACTGGCATTGGTGATGCTGCTATTAAACATACTGTGTTTAACCTGTTTGGAGATGCAAGTCAATATGAAACAAAGCCAAAATGTTCAAAAGGAGCAAAACATGTTGTTGTGGTTGATATGTATGAAGCAGGAGTTCACAGAACAATCTGCCTGTGTTGGTCAATAAACCATCATCTCTGTTTCAACTTTTAGAAGATCTAATGGAGAATCTGTCACAACTGTCCGATGTACACGTACACACTTGGTGTTAACATGTGGTTTTGTGATCCGATGACAAGTGGACAGCTCTGAGTGTGTGCATTCACACCAGGCATTAAAATGGTTAATGGTCTGTATTCTTGATGATCATTCAAGGCGCTTTACAGTAAAGATATGCCACTCACCCATTCATACACACATTCATACATACAGTGCATCTATGGGCAGTACTTTAGCATGCAGATGGGAAAGACTTGGATCAAACAGCTGACCTTCTTGTCGGAATATAACCGCTCTATCCCCTGAACCACCGCCACCCCATTAAAATGTGGCCCCACATGCATCTCATGATTGGATCTCACCTCCCAGTCTGAGTGCACAAGTGTGTCTGATGTCCCTGTGTGTGTGTGTCTGTGTCGACAGTCAGAAGAGTCTGAATGAATCTCGTGCAGAAAAATTTGAACCAGTTTAAGTGAAGTGTTATTCATTATGTGGTGATTGCTGTTAATATTGCTGTGGTAGTCACAAACAAATCAACAAGAAGAGAAAATACAGTTTTGATTTATAGTGAAACTGCACTGGGTCAGGTCCTTCATATTTTGCCCAGGTTAAAAAGACGTGGACATGTAGTCCAGACCACCTCCGAATGTGGTGTGGCATGATCAGATCCCTATCCGATCTGAGTGTGCGTTTAAACCTGTACTTACAGCTGTCTGCTTGAGAATGGGTCACAAAAACCACATGTTAATACCAGGTGTGTGTACAGGGCCAAATTACCATATTTCATATACTGGGTGAGGCGTGATTACCCTTTAAGCAAAGACTGCAGACACTCCTGCAATAAGATCTGCTCCATCCTTCTTCCTTGAAAAGGAAAGGATACTTGTTGTGATAAACAGTTTGGTAAAAACTGATTTTATGTCTTGGCTTGAGCTTCTTATAACTGAAATTATTCTGTTTTCATCGACCTACAGCTGCTCGCTCTGACCCATGTCCTCCCCTTGTCTCTGTCTGTGTCTAGCGTATAGACTGTCTGCTGAAACAGGAGCATTTTGCTGAAGCGCTCACTTTGGCCTGGTCTTTCCACGAGGGAACTGCTAAAGCTGTGGTTGGTGAGTATTAAATGTATCACACACGAATTAACGTCTGTTATAAAAAAGGGGCACCAGCTCCTATCTGAGCAACTTTATATCATTGAATTAATAATCAGTCTCATTAATGAGACTTATAAATTCATATCTACTAGGAAGAAGAAATTTGCAGTGATGAAAACTTGAGAAAGATACAAAATGGAATAAATGAATAATAACAATTACAGCAATGAAATAGAAAGGTTGTAATGTTGGTGTTGGTGGCAGATAATATGTTAAAGTAGGATTGTGTAGTGATAACGCTAATGGCAACTAATCCCTGAGTAAAAGAGTGACTGAAAGAGTAACTATGAAGGTCCATTTAGAGGTTAGAAATCTGGTTATGACATCCAGTCATTAATCTCAGAATCCACAGCCTTCTCGGCTGGTGTTCTGCAGACCGTGGTTTGATGGGTCCTAGAGGAACCATGGTTGTTCAGCGATGAGAGTTCTGTCAGTGGTCTCAGCTTGATGTGAATGAGGTGTCTTCTCCGGGCTCTCTCCTCTGGCACTGGACCACTGAATGTGACCGTCAGGGCAGACGTGCGTGGGGGTATTTCTAATGGGGTTGTTGTCGGAACTGGCACTGATTAATTCAGTTTTGTAATTGACTTTGTCATAACAACTTGAGGAGAAATCAGCATTGTTCATTTGACATAAAATCTCCAAATTTGATATTTAAACAAAGTCATAACCTAGTTGATCAAAATAGAATTGACAAAAATCTTCTGGCCGTTTATTTGGCTTAAAGAAAATAACATGTTGCACTGGAAAGCTACTAAACCTGTGGTTCTGAGAAAGTAATTCTATCCATAAACTTTAACGATGAGACACTTTGAAAGGAAAAACGTTAAGAAGGATAAAATCTTTAATAGCTATCCTGATGATAAAGTTAAAGATCTATTGAAGTAGTCTAAATACAAATCTGGTGCTTCAGTTGGCTCTAATGTTTCTGTAATATTCATGGGGAAGAGTTGGGGATTTTCTTCCCGTTGTTATAATTTTATTGTAAATAAGTTCTTGAGATCATTACTGCGAAGAGTTAAAGGAATAGATGGACCAGTAGAGACTCTCTGTCAGCCTGGCTACAGAGCTGAGGAGGAACCTGGGGTTGTTCTTATTTTCTTCTATTATTAATGAATAATAGGAGCTTCTGGCATTTCAAAGTGCTTCCTTGTAAGTTATCAGACTATCTTTCCAGGCTCGTGTAAAGGGTTGTTTGTAATGAGGCTGCTGAACTATTTACAAAGCAATCAGCTAGTGTGGGAGTGAAGTTTTGATTCTTGAATTTATCCCATGATCCGAATTGTACCAATTCAATTTTGTAGCGGAGCCGGATTAACAGGTAGATCCAGGAATTTTCTCCCTTTCTTTAGTATGAGGGGGTTAGCCTTTGCTGATGTTCGCATCATTTTGTACGATTAATTATTATGTAAAGACATTTAGAAAGGTCACTTAGACGACTTCTTAAATGATACAAATACTGACATAGTAACCACGACTTTACACTCTGTTACTAAGATAAACTAATTGATCCAGGCACCATTGCTGTGTATATTCACTCCAGTCCTTTGAGTTTTATATAACATTCACCAAAC